ATTCCTTCTTCCAAAATTTCGAAAGTTAACCTCATTCCAAATAAAATTCGCCCATTTTTTATGATTTATTTTTAAAAATATCTATTTTTGAAAATTTTTATAATTTAAAAAAAAAAAAAATTGAATTATAACCTATACAATTTTTACCATCATCTTAAAGCAGATGTATTTTCTAAGTATACCTGGAAACAATTAAGAGTTTTTTATTCAAAATTTCCTGGGATATACTTAAATTTACATATTGGCGCGTTTTGAAATTTGAAATATTTGTTATAAGCGATAATAACGCCAAATGTGATTTACGCACTTTGTAAAATCATTTGAAATAACGAACGATGACTCGTTTCCGCTCGCCTATAACGAAAAAAAGGAAAGGAAAATAGGTTGCTTTAAATTAAGAAGTTTGCCGACTGAATTACTCTGGGCGCAAACTGAAAAAAATGAGCCAAGATAAATTTTTACATATCTCCATAAATGTCGCATCAAATTTTACAAAATTTAATATTTAGGCATAATTTGAGTCGTAGAATTGAAATATGGAAAAATAATCGACATGTCATTTCAGAAAAGGTACGATTTTTGTATCAAAATACCTATATTAGATCAGCACTATAAATAAATATAATATATATCCTAAGTCGCGCTTTCGAGACATAAAAACCAATTTGAATTTCGTTAATCGGTCCTGTAAAACGAGAGATGCAGAATTTTCCCATTTTTTTTTTTTTTTTTTTTTTTTTTTTTCGCGGTTACGTTACGCAGTACAGAAATAATCCTGCAGTTATTTAAATCATCCAGAATAACATGATATACTTAAAAGACAATTAAAAACTAGAACAGAATTAAATGAAACCAATATTAGTTATTAAAAAAACGGATGGATTTTAATGTAATATAATTGTTCTTTATCAATGCATGCGCATTATGCAGTACAGCTTAAACTGCGCAGTGTTTAAGTTAGAAGCTAGAGTTCTGAGTTCAATAATTACATTTTGTTGCATGCTTCAATTTATACCTTTAAAGACGATAATAATTGCTTCTTTAATTAACCAGAGGAACTTTGAACATCCTTATAAATTCTACTTAAGCCCACCAGCGGCCGAGGGGTAAAGTCGCTGAACACTGGTAGTTCGGTCCGTGGTTCGAATCCTGGCAAACGGGCTGGCTGCATGGGCTTTTCGTGTAAAAGGCTCATGTGTATAAGAGCCACGTTCCCTTAGAAAGTTCTCCGCGAAGGTATCAGTCCCCTTAGGCAGATAGCCCTCTAGGTTTCGACGTAATCTCATAAATCCAAAATTCCCCTTAATGTTATTCGGTGTGAAGAAACTATTTTCAGAGAAGATTTTTAAGTTTGACTGAAATATCTTACATTATTTTACTAATTATTCTTCCTATCCCCCAAAAATCTCTTCTGTTTGAATGAAACCGTCATACATAAACCATTATTGACGAGTTACGAGTTACTTAGTTCAGATGCAAATTCTGTTTCCGGAAAGCTACAGATAATTTTGACAGTGAAAAACTCTTCTACAAATATTCGACCGATTCATCGTTCAAAAAGTATTTATTCACCGTGCACAGTAAGGTTTAGTTGATTCAGAGGGTTATTATGTTCAGGTGAATGTTCTCATTTCCTAGTACCGTCATTTGTTTTATTGACACAACTATTCAGTTTGAAGAGAGCATCCTTCTATTGAATAGCTATGTCAACAGAAATAACAGCTAAATTGTTACTTTTTCCCTCTAATTTGAACATTTTTTATCACCTTGATGATACTATTTGCGAATTTGCATCGATTTTCAAGGCACTTGTTACGTAAGTGATTAACAAAGCTATATTTTGCATGGGAAAAGGTCTTACAGTTTTCATTATAATTTAAAATGTGCTTCACAATGTGCTTAATTTTGGTGAAACTTTTAGGGTCGAAATAAATTTCTTTTGTTAAACGAATTTTATCTATCCTCTACAACCGATGGTACGCAAAGAAACAAAATACAGTAGAACTCCACTTATCCGAATCAAGTGGGACGGGCCCCATTCGGATAATCAAATATTCGAATATGGATTTTATCTATCCTCTACAACTGATGGTACGCAAAGAAACAAAATACAATAGAACTCCAATTATCCGAATCAACTGGAGCGGGCCCCATTCGGATAATCAAAAATTCGAATAATTGGATTTTTTCCGAAGAAAGGGGTCTACGTAAACTGTAATTAATAAGTGTATGCACTGTGTGTTGAAATGGAAGAAAAAATCTATTTTCTTAAAAAAAGAGGTTTTGATTAATTAAAATGAAATTGCAATACTTTTACGTACATTTTTTACACTGTTTGACTGTTTTCATCCGCTTGGCAACGAGAAGTTGCATGTGGTCAAACTCGGGCTAAAGCTCCATCCACTTCAGCGCACTTTCAAGGCCGGCAAGCTCTTCACTAGTTTCTGTTCCCGTGTCTGCTTCAACTTTGATATTAAGGTCATCTTCTCCCTCGACACTGTCTTCTCTCGCACTGTCAATAAATTTATAATTTGAAACCCAAGTTCTGACAAATCACACACCATCCATTCTGCTGTATCCTCAGCATTAAATTCTGAAAGTCCAGGTATTTTCAAAAGAATATTTCTTAATTCCAAATGTGATATGTCATCCTCATCTTTTCCTGACTCTTCCCTCTCCTTTTCTTGAGCTTCTTTTTCTATTTCTTCTTTTCCTTCTCTTCAGCAGTTGATTATGAAACATTCTGAAAGTGATTCGAATAAACAGTGATTCGGATGGTCAGACTTCCGATAATTGGAGTTGTACTGTATTTTCAACTGTTAAATTCAAAAATCTCGTGAAGAAAAAGAACAATTGATAGAAATTTCCTGTAATCGAACTCTAACTGAAGATTTCGCGAACTTTTGGCTGAACGGAAAAAAAGAATCTAAAGGCATTTTAAATAAAGCTAACAAATTTTTATTCCCTTTCTGCACAACCTATTTGTGTGACCAAGGTTTCTCTTCCATTTTATATTAAGAAAAGTGCAGAACAAAATTACAAGTGGATACTAATTTACGGTTTAAGTGAGATATAACCAGAGATAAAGAAACTGATCTTTGTTAAACAAGAATTAACGTATTATAACTTAAAGCTTGATAATTAAAATGGAAACCAATTTTTAATCTATATTCTTTACGTGCGCATATTTAACACAAATAGCCAACAGATTGAGCAAATGGCAATTTCTTTAATATTTCTATTAAGAAACTGAAAACTAATCATTGTAAAATGTAGTGGTAGTAACGAAGTTTTTCAGTTTTTGTTCAGGTAGTTCGTGTTTGTCAAAAAAGTTTAAGAACCGCTGCTCCACACATTTTCTTCACGATGTAGAAATTTCTGAAAACATTTTACGCATGCTTTAATTGCCGAGCCTAATTCTTCAGCACTCAGAAATTATAATTTTTTAAGTAATCTCATAAACTGTAACGTTATGTATAAAGCTGGACAATAATCAAAGCGTTCGTTAACAAAAACAAACAATAATAATAAATAGATATAATATGTAACTTGAAACCTAAAAACTAATAAGAATTGTATCCAAGTGTTCCGCTCAGTTTGAGACAGGCTTTCTCTATCTCTCTCTACATAAATTAATGCGTTTAAAATCCGTCCCATATTCGTTCCGGAACAAACCACATGCAATAATAAAACACCGGAAACACAATAGTAAGTTGCATGATAGGTGCAAAAAATGTTAAAACCAAAAATGAATCAGGAAACAAAGTAATTTACACCTTTCACTACATCACCAATCAGGGTGTTGGTTGGACGAAAGAAGAATTTATTGCTGCTATCAGGGCACAACTGGATTACGTTTTGAACTATTTTTTACTGTGAATTTATTCATTTATCTATCTATTTACAGGGTACATCAGCGGCCGAACGACAAAGTCGCTGAACACTGGTAATTCGTCCCGAGATTCAAAACTAATGTAGCAAACGGATTAGATATGTTGGCACTTTCGTGATTTTACCTATGTATAACGTGTACACGAGCCAATTTCCCTAAGAGGACCTCCATGAAGACATCCCTCAGCTAAAATAGCCCTCGAATGCTATGCCGTAATCAAATGAAGTTGAAGCACACGAAAGAAATTAATATAAAATCGGATAATTTTCTTATGTGATGACATTCTCCTAAGCATTCTGCAGGTTTTATCTAAAACAAAAAAATGTTAGGAATTTTTTGTGATTTTCAAAAGAAAATTTACAGTTTGGTTACATGGACCTTTAATTTTACAGTTAAGTTACATGGATCCAAATTATGTCTATTCTTCGTATCATTTTTGACTATTTTATCACAAAGTGATATTTATTTTTTATGATTTGGGATGCAAAAGATGTGAAAATTCACTATTTTTTCTATTCACCACCCGATTATATAACGTCAAAGAAATAAACCCTGCGGGCGATTCTTAAACTAAACGTTTTCAAGGGCAATTGTAAAAAGTTTAGTGTTTACTATATGGAAGGCAAGCGCATGACACGAATTTTCTGTTCAGAGATACAGTATTTTAGTACGTAGTATTTTACCTGTCTGTCCTAACTTTACTAATTTAAACTGTCGTCCTGTAAACGAGTTAGACTTTTTAGAGTCCTGTAAACGAATTTGCGTTCCTGTAAATTTCTACTTGGTACACTTATAAGGTTATTCTCCCGTCTTCTTGGCGTGACTTCGTAGTGTGGTGGTCTGCACGTTGGGCGCGTATTCCAGAGGCCCAAGGTTCGAGTCCCGGCGAAGGCGTTGCTCATTTTTCATCTCTCTGGCTTCGAAAAAATCCCAATGTCTCTATACAATTACTTCCTGTTCTGCACTGTGCTACAGTATTCCATAACTGTAATGGAATAGCATTGGAGCTAGTTTATTTATAGGCTTAAGTTTTATCATTTCGTAAATAGTGTTATGTGCAAAATTGGTTAAACTAATAAATTTAGATGAAAAAAATTTCCTATTTCAGAACCCCCAAAAAGCAGCTGGAAAACGTAACCAATGGATCACATGGATACTAAGAGCCCCCTCGGCAAGCGTAAAATTACTATGGCAAAAATTCCTTACTCAACAGCTTTCCTATTATAGCATGGAAGCTTTAAGCTATGGTAAAAAACCCTGCTTTGTGCACCATCCTGGCCTGAAGGTAAGACCCAATGTGCATTTTAATGCCGTAAATTGTTTTATTTGCACTAAACGATTTCATGCTATATATTAAATAGACAGCTAATATATTTTCAAAATATAAAAAAAAAAAAATGTCACAACTCAGTTCTATAGATTTTACTAGCATAATCGTAAAAAATAATCGTACTTTCATAATATCACTCGTTATTTTCACTACCCGACATTGAAAATACAACACCAAGAAGGAATGGCCCGAAAATTAAGCAAATTTCAGGGTAGACGCACGTTATGGGACGAGTCATGCGAATGGCGTGAAATGAGTAGCTCTCCAGCACATGGTAAAGAAGATATAAAGGAAAGAACCTGGAGAATATTCAGTTTCCGTACCGTTATTTCTGCTATGGAAATCATCGCAGAAAATGTGTTCTTGTCTCAGAGGACGCGTGTAATAGCACAGAATGCCAGGCCGCTGCCAATGGAGGAAGAGGAGGGGCATGGTGATCGGACTGATGAGGGCTAATTGGTCCATATGGCAAATCTAAGCTGACACACACCTGGACGCGTCCACAGTGCAATGTCTGTGGCGATAATGTTTGGAACAGGGAAATGTGGCAAGTTTGAGGAGTTACGTCAGCACGCATGGATCGACGCATCCGTCGACAAGCAGTGCCGACTCTGCAAGCGAGTTATACCTCCATTCTGCAGCATGTTCAAGACACCGTGGATGTTCCTATATCGACCAGAACCATTTTCCGTCGCTTGGTGGCTAGTGCCTGCAGTCTTGGCGTCCGCCATTGACCCCACATCATAGACGCCAGCTTCTTCAATGGTGTCGGGCTCGAGTGATGTGGAGGACGGAATGGCACAGGGTCGTGTTCTCAGATGAAACAGATGATTCTGTTTTTCTAGTCATAGTCACCGTGTACGAGTCTGGCGTCGATGTGGAGAAAAGGCCAGTCCGGCAGCAATTTTGGAACGCCCCAACGCAAGGCAACTCAGCGTCATGGTTTGGGACACAATTGTATACGATTCCAGATTACGTCTAGTTCGTATTTAGGACACTATGACGGCTCAATGATACGTGGATAATGTGCTGCGGCCGGTGGCGCTAATTATCTCAGGAAGTGCCCCAGTCTATTTATCTGAAGGATAATGCTCGACCACACACTGCTCTCATCAGCCAATGTGCTCTGCAAGGTGCACAGGTGCTTCACTGACCACCGTTCTTCCCTGATCTCTCACCAAAGTCTAACACGTTTGGGATGGGATTTCAACGCCATTTGAAGACCCTGCCATTGCCCCGTTCAGAAGACAAGCTGTGGCAAATGGTTGACAGGGAATGGAGAGCCATTCCTCAGGACACCATCCGTATTCTCATTGATTCTGTACCCAGACGTGTTGCTTAGTATATCGCCATCCAAGTTGGTCTTCACTGATCAGGCATCATTCCGTTTGGTTTTACCTTAGGTCAGAAGCCTAGTCAGTGGCGCATAAACGGAGCCGACGCTTTTTTCGCTTTGTATTATGCATATCATTTCGAAATAAAGATCACTTATTGTTCGCTGTTATCTCTCTCTGTTTGTCGAGTTTCATCACGTTCTGGCCACTCCTTGGTGTTGCTTTCCAATGTCGGGGAATGTATTAAACAAAAGTTTTTCTTTCGTATAGCTGAGAATCTGAATTCCTCTAATTTCTTGCCTTATAAACCGTACCAACGATTAGAAACTGAAGATTACAAACGATTTTGCCCTCGACCAGACATTACCACCACTGAATGTGAATATTCAATTAAAACGAAATTAATGACTTATTTATCAGTATTTAAAATCTCTAGAATAAAGTGATGATACAATTAAAAGGTCCCCTGAAATGAGGAGAACACATGCATGTACTTTTAGTAAACTTTACATGACTTGGTATAAAAAGCCCTAAAAATACTAGAATTCATTCCTAGAGATGAGAGTTCCCGGTTTCAGTTTTCATAAGAGATACATTTATAAACGCTATTGTATATCATATTCGAAGGATGCGAGGGAAAAATAGGTATTGAAACGCTACATTACATTATTCTCAATACAGATTTTCTTAGCTCAAATTAATTTAGTTATAACTGGATACCAAGAAAATATTAAATGTAACGTACAAGAAGACGATCAGTAATTCATTCCGAATCTTTTATTATATGTTTGAAACGGCTCAAGTGTGTGTAGCCTCCGTATAATAAATTTAGAGTTTGCTTATAAATAGTACGCATAACACGCCACTATTATAACAAGTTTCGAGAACTCCAGAATATTCCACCTATAGTTCGAAATTCCTACAACATTGTTTCACTCTAACGCGGTTGAAGCATTCACCAAGAAAACCGCTAATGATGATCCTTCAACTAAAAAAAAAAGAGTAAAACTTTAGAGAAAGCATCATAAGTGCTTACTTTAACACAGCAAAATTTATGAAGATCGCTCAGTTATAAAATGGAATAGAATATGGTAGATTTTTTTTGCATAAAATTAAAATGCAAAATTGAAGATTATATTAAAGATACCTCAGAAGGTCATTAAAAAGAAAACTGTTCCTTTTAATGGTGATTAGTAGCGATGATGAAGAAAACACAAATATCTAAATTTCTTGATCCATTATAGTTCTAACAAGCATATTTTCTTTTAATTATAAATGAAACCTATATAGTTTTTAAAATTTTATATTCTTAAAATAATAATATTTTTAAAATGTATTACTTTTTGTACTAGTTCTTTTGTTTGTTTGTATTCGCAGAAATGCCCTTTTTTAGGAACCAAAAGATTGTGCCATACAAAGGTTATTTATAGCTGTAATTAATTCATCTATTAAAATGTTTTGTGAATATTTAAATGCATATTTGTATACAGAAGACAAATAGAAGCGTGCTAAAAAGAGCATAAGCGTATTTCAAAACGGTAACGCATGTGAAAAATTAGTTTTAGTTGAGCATATTGGTATGGTGATGAAGCTCATCATAGGTTTTATATACTTAAATTAGGTACATCACTTGCTCAAAATCATGTCAATTCTCAAGTTTAATTTTGATTTAAACCTTCTAGGAATAAAAATATTCCTGAGGAAACCTGCAACTATAACCTCATTTACGTTAGTGTATATATGTGTGTATGTTACGGCTAAAGTTCGAAAGTTTTTAATGTGCACATTACCTTGCTAATCTGCATATTAACTGATTTGCTCTATCAAAGTGCAGCATAGAGAGTTCTCCGCATTTTACCTAGGTAATGTGCACGTTAATGGATTCCGTATCGTTAAAGCTTAAAGGTTTGTTTCTGTCATTTCCTTTCCATACACTTTGCACATTACTAGGCACTCGCTAATCTGCACAGTGCCTACTAGGCGCTCGTTAAACTGAAAATAAGATCTTTGCTGGGACAAGAGGAACGTTTTTGTGCACTTAAATTAACATAATGGTATTTATTTCTTATCCGATATCTAAAAATTAAAATTAATAAAGTTAAACAAAGTAGTTCACAGAATCAATCACCAATCAATCAAAAGAATAAAACGTTGTCAATAATCAAAAAATAACAAATCAATATTCAAAGCATAAAACGGTGTAAAATATTGTTACGCTTTTTTCTGACACAAGTTGTTATGTTATTTTCTTCTTTCACGTTCATTAATGGGGTTCGCGTGGATTTGGAGTGAATAAAGACGACAGCACTTCATGGAATATCGAAACACACTTTATTGGCCGATATTAACCGGGAACAGTTCCAAAATCACGTTTTACAGTCGTCGAAGAACTACTATAAACACGCTGTCACAATCAGCGACACAGCTTTCCCAATATCAGGCTATAACGGTGGAGACAGCTTCACTGCAAAGCACCAGAGTACAGTTTCCGACTCTGCTCGGTCGTCCTCGGAACTCCACGTATTCTCGAGACTCTCCACGCTAGAACTCGCGATGTACTCGACAACACACAGAGCATAGCTCCCGACTCTTCGGTTCAGTCGTTCCCGGAGCTTAACACACTCTCTTGACGATGCACTAACCGCGATACACTAAGAGACTCTTCGATGCACTCAACGACCCACTCGGCACTCGCTGTCCCGGCTGTCAACTCGATCGACTCCGCACCGACTGACTATCTCGCACTCTAGACGAGGCACTCTCTCTGACTCGCATTAACTGACTGCGTATCAGCAGGGTTTATATAGCTTTCGGCTTGTGTTCGAGAACGTTCTTGGCTAAACCGGTAAGAATTCGTTCAAGAAGGTTCTCCATCCGTCCATGGCATGTTGCCAATTTTGTCGCCAAATGGACGACTTCTCGCCAAATGTGGTAACCCTGTCTTCCTTTGTCATTTTATGGCAACCCTAAACCTGCTTTGCGGGGAAGCTGTCTCACCGCGCTTGGACATTTCGTAACAATATTATTACAATTTAGGAAATGAATTTGAAAAAGAAACGATAAAATTATGTTCACTTACTAGTAAAATATAAAGATTGGTGATACTTTTAATTACATAGCAATTGGATTATGCAACAAGCACTCCTATTTGTGGTATATTTAGATTTGCAGTATTATTTTATGAAACCCCATCTGATCAGCTATTGAAAAGTCTAGGTGGTGGCTGTTTGAAGCATACAAAACGTTCTTGTTGTTTCAGCAAAGAATCTTACTTTCATATTAACGAGTGCCTAGTAGGTAATACGCAGATTATCTAGGCAATTTGAGAAATGAAAAAAAAAAAAAAAAAAAAAAAAAAAAAAAAAAAACACCAAACCCTTCGCACTTTAAAGGATCACCCTAGTTAATCCGCAGATTAGCTAGATGATCTGCAGAATAACTGATTTTCGCACTTTATTGGTAACATATATGTGAAATTTAGAGTAAAATGATAGTTAAAAGAGTAAATTTAAGCTTGCAAGGTACGACAATTAAATACGTAGAACTGATTTGAATTTCCAAAGCTGACAACATAGACGTCAATTCACATGGGCGTAGCAAAGAAAGTATGTGCATTGCAGTAGATGCCCTCCAAGTTGGGCTATGGTAGCGACAATAGTAATTAGCATACAAATGACTTTTAATTCGGATTAGCTACTTTAATTATTCAATCGCAATAATTAATGATTTCGGCTATTAAGGCCTAAATCTTCCAAATGTTTTGCGTACTTTGTTTCCTCGTAAGCAGCTTAAAATATTTCAACTGTCAATTTCTACTAGAAAAATGAAATAATTTTAAAATAAGCAAACTGAAAAATCAACTTGAAGTTAGTTCTATGTTTTTCGGTTGATATAAATAATCACTGAGGAAGATGTTGTAAGATTCCAGCACAGAAGGCAATACGCAAATTTCATGGCAAATTAAGTTTTTAAGTCCACTGTTTATTGATTTTTATAATAACTGTTGACCTATATATTTATCTTTTTATCCAATATGTAATTGTTTTATTCAATATGTTATTTTATCGATGTGACCATCGATAAAAAAAGTTTCTTTCTTTAATACATATACAGGGTGTTTCAGCAAATCGGTTACAAACTTTCGGGAGAGACAGGGTACGATGAAACAATCACATAACAATGTATGGTCGAGAAAGCTTTTCAACACGACAAAACACAACAAAGGAAGAACATGATGAGGAAACGTGGTAGGGAAACACAAGAAAGAATAACAAGTTCCAAAGTAGATCAGAAATACAAGAAAGAAAAACAGAGAACGATCTTCATCAAACAAGGCGTTCGAAATAACGACAACAGAACCTGATGCAGGCCTCACATCTCTGGCACATGGAAGATCTGATATTCTGGAAAATACCGGGCATACCCCGGACTTCCCCAGCAATTGCCACGATGCGTGCAACAAGTTCTTCAGTACTTCTAACGAGGGTTTTCGTACACCATTGTCTTGACGTACTTCTAGAGGAAGTAGTGAATGCAAGTGGCGTCTAGCGATTTTGTTGGCTGATACACCGGAACACCCCTGCCGATCCCATGTTGAGGATACGTTTCGAACACCTTTTTTGATGACAATTGCCTGTTTTAGTTCTTATTTCTTGGTCTGCGCTGCACTGAGCATAATAACCATACTGTCTCACCCTATTCGTGTTCTTCCTTTCCCGCGTGTTCTGTTGCCACTACCCGTGCCAGGAAAGCGTTTCCAACCATGCAGCACTATGTGGCTTTCCATCGTCTAGGTATACTTTATCACTCCTGAAAGTTTATAATCGATTTGCTGAAAGCACCCTGTATATCTGTCCGTATTATTTGAATACTTTTTTTACCCTAAACAAGGCTGAGCAATTTTATTTTCGTTTCATATTTTCATTATTTCAGGGACTGAGATCTAAAAGAAATATTAACTACGAAGAATCCTCATTTGTTACACTGACTGGATTAACAAAATTCTCGACCTGTCACTCGGGAAGTTTGAAGAGTTTGGGTTCTCCACCTGCGAAAGATGCCAAAAAAAGTGCAAATGAGAATGGTTCTTTGACAGAAAATAATACCAAATACGAACAGCCTGGTTGTGCTGGCAAAGTCTCTGATAACCTAAAACCCGAAAAAGAGAGTCATGCATTTTCCTCAGATCAAAGCATAGCGAGACAAAGTGCACATACGTCTAAAAAATGTGCTGTTACCAGATCGAAATCATTTGGAAACGATTTCAGCTATTGTTTTCCATTTATTGATTCCCCAGATGCTACAAGTCCCGAATTAGACACTCACTCATCCCGAATTTCGGAACTCAGAGCACTATCTGAAAACTTAAAAAATAGTAGTAGCTCAGCCTCAAAGATAGATGACTGCAGTGATCCTGAGCAGTCAGTTCCTGAAAGTCACAGTGCTCCAGAAACACCGTATAAATCAGAGCGGTATGTCCAAACTGATGATTCCGTACCCTCCCCAGGAACAAGTCGGAGCAAAAGAACTCCAAAAAAGAAATTTCCAAGGTTAGGGACATTTGAGCGACTAAAAATTGATAAAAGAAATGCTAACGTTGACCATACCACATCATCAACAATTTGTCGCACTCGCACGGGTACCTCATTCCGTCACCGTCGGCAATTATCTACAACGACATCAAAAGAACACCTTCTGAAATCGGATACAGTTTCGTCTGGTTTCAGTGACTTAAAAGAAAATACCGAGGATTCTTTGGTGATCTCTCTTCCGAATGAAAAGAAAAAGAGGAAATTGTTTCCTCGCTTCTGGAAGCGAGAGTCTAAATCTTCTAATAGCGATCAAAGTGCATCAAGGAATGCACATTTGGGAGGAGATATTCAATTGAAAGAAAACTGTGCGAAGGAACAACCATCAAGCTGTGTAACTGTGTTGAACTCACCCGAGTGTTCCCATGTAAGTGTTTAATCTTATTTATTTCTGGAAATTTTAGCATACAGCACTGCTTTGGAAAGAGAAAATGTAATTGCGTTGAATACCTCTGATACAAAGATGCTGAAATTCAGTAAGTTACAGACCGATTTAACTAACACCACAAATTTCACGTATTTGAAGCCGGTAGGAATTAATATATAGTTATTAACTCATCTTTAAGTACTTTGCGCTATCGCAAGAGCAGACAATCCCTTGGGGTAGTAGGTTATCGGCCGTTTAAAACCTGATGGCTCATCAGAAAATACTATAAATGGTATATGTTTAACTTCTACATATAAATTATAAAAGTTGATAGTAACGAGAAAGTACTAAACATTAACCAGTTTGAACTCCTGTTGATTATTACAAGTCTCAATATTAGATTTCAGTATTTGTGAAAAGCTGCTTTCCGGTGCTGCTGCATCAAGAGTGTGTTGGGAATAACTGCCATAAACAGGGAATCTGGAAATGTGTTCAGAATGATAATCCATATATGCTTCATTCTAGGTTTCAGAGTAAGAATTCACGTTTTGTATCTTAGCAGTACATCTCACCTATCTATGCAACCCTTGTGACGTTCTATTTATTTGCAAATGCATTGTAGCAGGAGATCTTAAATCGCCTGAATTCCAGAGCTGCAAACTGAAGATGACAGTCATATTACCAAAAAAGTATTGCAAAGAAAATCTCTGCAAGCAAGAAACGCGAAATATGAACCCTCAGAACATGGAATAATGTCGTTTAGATCATACTTCCAGTTATGTTTTGCATTTTAGTGGGGTCTGATTCACTATCCAAGTCGCATCTCTTGATGGCACAATTGGGCGCCCAACAGATGAACTTAGTTAATGTTGTTATATTCTGAGCTATTTTTTCACATCATAAGTCAGCAAATATCCTCTTGCAGATATTGAATGGTGAACGCTAAGACGACCTTTTAGACCATTTCTGTGGGTATCTGCAGGAAGGTTAATCGCACCATCTTTCAACAGGAAACAGCATTTTGCCTTTGGACTCAGAAAATGACTATGTAAATAGGTGGGCATTCAACAGGTGAATATGACGTTCTTATCTTTTGAGCTGCTTTCTTTCACATCATTCAGTAAATTACCTCTTGCAGACATTGAATGGTGAACGTTACGATGACCTTTTAGACCATTTATATCTGTATCTGCCGGAAGATTACTCGCCGCATCTTCCAATAGGAAACAGAACTTTTTTCCTTGGATTCGGAAAACTACTGTGTGAATGTAAGAACACAACAACAAATTTACCGCATCATTTTCATACCACAGCGAGTGTGATGACTTTTGTCTTCTTTTGTGGTATATGATTCTATGTAAAGTTCCTGCAACGGGTATGGATAAAAGTTTCCTATACATGGTATTCGTACACTTACAGAACCTGGTTCTGAACATCTAGAAGCTGCGATTGCACAGAAAGGGACTGAAGTGAGAAGATATTAATTTTTAACACAAAGGGAATTTATTTTTCAAACTTTTAAGAAACTTTACCTTTCCTTTGGCGATGACTTTGTGATTATTATTCTTAAAGTTTTCTCAAATTTATTCGTGCAAAATATTCCATATCGTAAGCAATTTCCTCTTCACTCACCTTTTTTCTTGAAAAATGTTTAAAACAATTATAATTAGATATCGCAAGTTTGCGTATTTAAACCATTTGAATTACGTAAAATTTTGTACACAGATATCATTTATATCAAAAATGAGTCGTTACTTCCTTCTTGGTTGCAATACTGTGTTGCATATTATTTCATTGGAGATGTCAATGCATTTCAGAAAAAAATGTGGATTTATATGGAAAAGATGATGGTTGTAAAATCATATAAATATCAAAATGCTCTGATAAAAGTTAATGGATGTTTTCCAACTAAACGCATTTTAACATACATATAAACAACGAGAACGCATGTATATAAACATGATTGCATTTCATCTATCTTGTGATTAGTTTAAAATAAAGTTTATCTGCATCTTAAAGCACGAAGACTGCTCCTTCATGAAATAGCTTTAAAAATATAATTGTATAAAAATTTAAAGTATAGAATTGGGTGCTCTTTCGATTGAACAAATTTCGATTGAAATCGACAAATTTTGTTCAATTTTGGCGATGACTACCTTTTCTTTTAACCTTATATGGCGTCATCATTCTTCCGATTTGTTTCTAAAATAGATCGATGTGTACATGGAAAAAAGTCAAGGCAGTGCACAATGCCGAAATGTGTAATTCTCTGATGTTTTCAAGTGAAAATAAATCGATGTGTACATGGGCACCGAGTTTGTGGAATTGTTTGACTTGTTATTTTAATTTTGTGTAGCGGCCATCTTGAAATTGTACCTTGCTGGCGCCGATTTTGGCGTTAAAAAAGAATCTCCAAATTTTGTGTAGCGGCCATCTTGAAATTGTAGCTTGCTGGCGCCGATTTTGGCGTCAAAAAAGAATCGCCAAAAAAAAAACAAGGGGCACCCAATTTTAAACTTATACCAAATTTAATTGCAGCTTTATGGAAAAGAATTAATTTTCAATTAAATAGTTAAAATGTACTGTTGAAGTGTGTAAATAACTTTTAAAAGAAGTTCATATTTTATGTACTAAATAGCGGGCAAGCCCGTTGGATAAGCGGTCTGCGGCCAATGTAAAACTTATTTTCTATGTAAGCCTGAATAGAAAATGGATAAAAATATTTCAATGTGAACGAAATGAGTTCATTCTTTCCAAACAACATCCAATTCGTAAATAACTTTTTTTTTGCCAAACCAGAAAACAAAAATTTTGGACACCTCAGGTTAATAAGTATGACGTCATGATTTAAATTTAATGTAATATCACACCTTTTTCTCAGTATCAGTACAAGAATTAACATGGCAATAATATATCGTGTCAGTTATCCTAACTCGAAAACAAAGAAGTTGCTAACATCATCTATTTATTTAAAATGTTAACATTAACTAAACCTTTTCGACTTACAGTGTCGTCACATGCAGTTGCCTGCTCAACTTCAGAATTTAATCTTATATAATAATAATATAGTTAATGTTTGACAATGCTATTTTTCTTTCATATTTTGTAAAACGTACAAATGTTTTACTAATAAACTATGCGATTTAAAAGCGAGCAATAGCAACACATTTTGAAATAAAGCAGATTTTTATCTCCAGCGTGCGAGACTGTCGCCACTCGGAAAAATGAGCACGAAAATTAGCGTTTCTAGAGTTTTTAAATAATATCTCTGCTAATTATAGTCGTACGAAGATGAGAATGGTCGAAATGTCTTCCTAAGGAAATTTTGGATTCCGGAGGTACCTTTCTCGAAATTCAACTCACCGCCGTTCCGGAGGAGATAATACCACAAACAAACAAACAAACAAACAAACAAACAAAAAAGACAGATAGACGCACAAAGATTTTAATGGAATAGATTCTTCTACGAGAAATAGAACATATTCAGCAAAGTTATAACTGTAATAAAAATTGTTTCATTATCGTCTAAAATTTAGGTTAAAAATTACACTTGTTTACACTTGTATACACTACAAAAAATTATACTTGTATGTTCTTAAATGTTCACTTTATGAGCAACTTCTTTCTTTTCACTTCAAATGATTTGATTTCAAATGCGGCTATCCCCATAAATCCTTTTATCTAGCAAAACCTATTCTGGTTGATATGAAAGAACAGCAGTATATTTTAATATGTAATATGGGTGGGTTCCAAATTAGCAATCTCGAAGTATCCCCGTGTTTTGAAATGCTAGATTTCTGCAGCTTTCACAGTGAAAGGTACATCATGGAAAGATCGCAACTTTTTTTAATGTGATTTCTTTAAGGTAACAGTAGCAAATCATCTGTTAGACAATTATCATATATCATATATTTGAACTAGACGTGAAAGAGAAGACAAGAAAGCTGTTTTCAAGTTTGCTATGATACTTAAAGTGGAAAATTTAATTTGAAACATATAATAGTTAAACATTTATTGTTTTGTAAAAAAATTTAAAATGCAGTCTTTTTTTACTTAAAATATCCATTTACTATAAAAATAAGGTAACTGATTATTTGTCACAGACAAGTCTTGTTCCATAATCAACCGAAATACCTCGATTATAAGAGAATATAAAATTTAAAAATAGTTGAATTGCCTAATATTTATTTTTAAAGTTCACGAAAATATAAACATTATTTATGTAGATGTCTTACTGTTTTAGTAATAATAATAATACGAACATATACCTGGAATATCAGAAAGAAAACGTTTGTTTGTACACTGCACAAAAAAGTGGGACAGTTCTATATCTTTCGTTCTACTAGGCCGATCGACGAAATTTAACTTGCAGTTTTTATATTTCGAAAGCGTGAATGAAGATGAGCTTTAGGTTTATATACAGCATTGTTCTAACATACAGGGTTTGCACGAAAAATAATAGGACTGAATTTTTTGAAAACATTTCTTCACAGTTTTCACACATCAGCTTGATAGTTCTCAAAATATGCCGTTTCTGCATTAACAGAGTGTTTTCAGCGTCTCTGCCAATCTCTGAAGGCTCCCTAGAACGCAGAAACTGGAATGCTCTTCAGTTCCCTCGTTACGGCCTCTTGAATGGCGTGTACTGACCCGTGGTGCCGTCCTTTTATGACCCTTTCCAGTGGGGGGAAGAGGAAGTAATCTCAAGGACCGACATCTGGGCTGTACCTGCACTTGATCGACTCAGAAAACGAGTAATCCGCATTCATCCATCAATTGTTGGATCTTGGAGGCTCAATTACGAAATGCGTCGAACCACATCGACTTTGCTGTCAGGCACTTCTTGACGAAACATGGCATCACACAGCTTCTGCAGCCACCCTACAGCCCAAATGTCGTTCCTTCAGAATTTTTCTTTCTTCTCCCTACTGAAAAGGGTCTTGAAAGGACGACACCATGCCATTCAAGAGGCCGTAAAGAGGAAGCTGAAAAGTACTGCAGTTTCTGAGTTCCAGGGAGACTCCAGTCATTGGCAGAGTCGCTGGAAACGCTGTGCAGCTTCAGATGTTTTTTTAAAAAATCAGTTCTACTTCTTTATGGTCAAACACTGTAGATAATTTAGATATAGATAACAATATCAGACACTTTCTGAAACGGCATACCGAATTTTTTCTATATTTCAATTCAACGACACAAGTTATGCCAAAGTGCCCCAAAATCGCTAGAGTAGTATTTAAAGCATTGACTCTCAAAATGTTAGCTCCTCAGCGTTAATTAGACTTGCTATATTAAATATAACAATATACCTTTTTCTAATCAGCTTACAAAATTTTGACCATGACGCTCGGAGAGTCGACTTGCTTACCTTCTAAGTGACAACTGCACGTGTAGCAAGTTCTGGTAGGAACTACACAGGAGAAGGCTTAAAGTACGCTTTATTTTAAAAAAGTTTGAAAAAAGGAGATGGGTTAATATACCCTTTTTTTTACAAAAAGAAGAAGGGTTAAAGTACCCTTCTTTAAAATTAACAATGCGTCAACTCGATGCTAACACGCTACACCTCGCTTGGGCGGTAACTGAAATCACAGAACTAAACTAAAAATTAGAAGATGTTCACAAATAGTAGAAATTAAACTACAGGGATCAGATATTCCTGTTTCTTAAGCCCGCGTCGAAACTATTGGCCGCAAATTGAAATGCTGTAATAAAAATAAAGTAACCTTGTATGCCAAGTAAACTACCACTCCGGGAGTAAAAGCCCACGCAACAGCGGTAACGACAATAGCCTAACTCTCTCCAACCTTTGCTTCTGGAACCCAGTATTTAAACGTTTTCTCCTCCAAGTAGAATTTACATTTCTTCACCCGCGCTACCAAATTTAAATATTGCGGCATTGACAATTAGGGAAATGAAGGCTTATAGGAAAGTTTAAAATTAAAATTTAACTTATTAGTGAAAATAAATATAAAACCCTACACGTTAACGTCGCATTTCTAGCGATGCCTTAAAAAATGGAGTTTTTTTATTCAAAATTTCCAATGAGATACGTAAATTTATACATTTGGCGCATGTTAAAGTTTGGTATATATTTTTTTTTAATTTCTAATGCAGCTGGCATATAGAGACAAAAATCCTTACGCCATACAGAAATCCAAAAACTATAAAAATGCAGTAATACAATAGAACATGAATGCTAAAAGATCTCTAGCTTCCCAGTGTTTGGAAAACACAGTGAGAGAGCGCGGAGCAGAAAAGGAAATGCCCAGCGTTCATCACTGCACCATTGCAGAAAAGGGGGCAAGTAGGACTATCAACTGTATTTGGAATATGTGAAAGTGTGCATATAAACAGTCATGCATTGTTAACTAGACGAAAGGCAGTTACATCACAGACTGCGGTAGTATGGAAGATTATAGATGTCAATCTCCCACAGTTTATCTCTTATTCTTTCTTTTAATTGTGACACCTACTTGGTCTTGAAGGTCATACAGATTTTTGCTGATACAGACTTATAACCAACCTGTCCATCTGAAACCTGAATAATATCGCATGCTCTTTTGGCCAGCTTATCTGCCTTTTTGTGGCGATGCTGAGAGGAATCCACAGCAAAATGACTATTTAGTGTTTTTCATGCAATTCTCGTAGTAGGTATTCTCAGACATTGCATTACAGATGAAGAAATAGAAGCTTGGCAGATGTTAGCATTTGCCAGTATTGCCCCTTTAGGATCTGAGAATATGACAAACTGTTCAGAAAGGGAAGGGAAGGACGAGCATTTCGACAGGACAAAGAACTTTAATCGCCTCAACTTCACCATCGAACGCTGTCTTATTAGTTCCCAGGGAAAGATAGTGTGAGAAATGCTCACAGGTAATTCCAGCTCCTGCGTAGGAGACATTAAAAATGAGCAATGCCCTCGCCGGACTAGAACCTGAACCGGCGAATACGCGCCGACTATGCTACCATTTCACCACGAAGGCATGCAGAAGGAAGGGAGAAAATACCTCATGTACTCCCCCTTTTAAAGTGTGACTGGGCATTAGGAGATCCAATTTCCAAATCCTGGTAGCGAAGAATCATCACCCACCACCTTTTAATTCAGGCTCTAATGTAGGCATTAGAGACATTAGGTTATTTTGAAGCAAGATATGTGTAAAATGAATAATGCTTTCGCCTGGATTCGAACCTGGACCTATCGAATACGCTAAGGAAGGAGAGAGAAAATACCATCAAGAGGAGTAAAAATAAATTTATTATTCTATTTGAAATTACAAACACTGGGACACGGGCAGTTGAACGGCAGTGAACCCCATCGGCGGCTCTGAATAATGGCGGACGTGGTGCTGTACTGATTAACCATTAAGGTAAAGGGACAGTGCCCATGTCCTCCGTCACTTATCACTTATCTATTTGAAATTAACATAAATAATAAATAATCAGTAAAAGTATAAAAAACTTTCGCATAAAAGACTTAGCAGTCCTTAGTTTAAAGATT